GAACAAGAAGATGAAGATGGACTAGAAGACCATAAAGAGTTGGAGATAAAAAATGCAGAGAAAGTCTCAGCAAATGAAATGATAACTAAGGAAAATAAAGAAATTAGTGTTGTAGCGAGTCAGAATGAAATTGAGCTAGGAGAATCCTTCGAAGGAGAGAAGAATGAAGTCCAGATTGAATTAGACTTTCTCTCACATCATGTTGAAACTGCTGAGTTCGGACGTCGGACTGACAAGAAAAAGATTTTAAGGAGTACTGATGATCAAAGAGGTTATCCTGCCGAACTAAAAGAAGAGCCGGGAACAACAAATTCTCGACGGAGTCTTGATACATTGAGACACTCTACACCTGTCTGTTCGGTTCAGGTTGACTTGCTTGGCGAGGAAAAGTCACAGATGGATCAAAAGGAGATCTCTCTTAGTGACAAGAAATGTTTACTACTGCATAGTGGTTCCAATCTTCCCCAAGTTTCCAAAGACTTGCAAAATTCTTTTGGCCTCCAAAGAAATCTTACAGAGCAACTTGCCGAGGTACAGAACCAACGGCATCAGCACAAGCAAAGCTGTCATTTAAGAGTTCAGAATGATCAAACTAAAATAATGAGTGGACAGCAAATTAGTCGTGTGCAGCTGAAGAAAGAGCAGCAACATCCCAGGTATCCAAGGAAGATTCACAAAGAAAGTAAAAGTGATACCGCTACAACTCACAAATCAGGACCCCCAATCAATACGCCTACAAGTTATTCACACTCAACTCCCTTTAGCCGGGAGAAGCCATTATATTCACGAGATGAACAAGAACGATTGGAATATATTGAGGCACAGGAGGATGAAAATCTCAATTTCATACGGGACAGATCAAGTAACTGCCTCCTTCGAGTACATCCGATGCAACCACATGGTTCTAGACTGCCGACATTCGACAGTGTCGACAGTCGTCCACATGTCGACAAGCTGCAATTACTGAATACTGATACCGCTCCTTTAATCTCCCTTAAGCTCGACTCTATTATACAAGCTAAGTCAGCTGAGGACTCAGAAAACTTTATGCAACATCTGGACGGCTATGATCTTGCTGGCTATAATAGGCCCACTCAATCTTGCTCAACAAAAGATGAACGCGAAAGATGGCGACGCTCTGGAGCACAAGTCTTTCACCAGGGAGAGCATAGGCCCCCAAAACAGCCACAAGGTCAGCCATTTTCAGTGAATTCTGTTTTGCCAAAGCAACGTAGTTCTACACTCCCGACGCTTTTAAACGCAGCCACAAATGCCACAGGTGGTGCTTCTTACCAGTTGGTTGAAAAATCTGGAAGATGGGAGCCGGGCGATATATGTCAGGAGCTAGGTCAAAGAGGCTCCAAAACACGACAAGCCTGCCAGGATCGTTCAGAATTGTATATCAAATCGCTGCGAAATTCACCGAAAAGAATGGCGCTTGAGGTTCAAAAGAGTGGAAGACAGGGTCAGGCACAGACCAATCAGATGTGTCGTCCCAGAATTTCAAAACAAGAACGTGACAAGGCCACTAAACCAGGTACACTTTGCGTTAAATATAGCTAGATAAGCTATTTGCAAACAAATAAAAAAGTGGTGACAGTTTTACTTGTTTCAAAGTTTATTTTATCTTACGCCATATCACTTTGCACTATATCATTTTTGCATCCATACGTGGCATCTATTAGGTTAAAACTTGTCGCGAATTCTAAAATTTGATAGGACCTATGCAAAGTCGAAAATACAATCAACTCTGGATGAGAACAACTCTTGGGAAAACAAGGCTATGTGAAATTCAACGGAAAAGTCAGCTCTACTCATAGCATTGTGGGAAATTTGTACTACCAGTCCTTCATCAGCTTAAAATAATTAGGGTGAATACATCTCATATAACTGCCTTACTGGTAGTCGCGACAGTATTTATACTAAAAATAAATTTTGTTTTGTTTTATATCCTCTTTTATTCGATAAGTATATTTTATTGATTAAATAAATGAATAGGTTGAAC